GTGGGGATTGACTCGTGTGCTAGTTCGAATGGGTTGTGGTGCGCCCGTGAGAAGTAGGGGATATTATATTATGTTGTTTGTAGGTATGTGTTGTTGATTCTTTTTTTGGGTTTGTTAGTCTCCTTTGTTGAGTTTCTTAGTCTCCTTTATTGAGTTTGTTTAGTCTTCTTTATTGAGTTTCCCTGGTTGCCTTAATCCAGATTTTGTTCTCGTTCTTGTGGTGTCGCGTGTGTACTCTTTTTGAGTTATTACTATAATTATCATTTGGAAAAAAAAAAACTCATCGACTTGATAAACGAGCTTGGGTTTTGCTAATAAATTTTCATAAGTTAGTTGAGAATGAGTCTCAACTTGTCAAACTAAGGCAATAGCTAACAAAATAAAGTAAAACCTCTTATTTATCGATCCTAACAAACCTTAACAAATCAAGCCGAGCTTGGGTTGTTAACTAAACGGATTCGAATCCAAGTCATTTGAACAGATGAGTACTCTTAACTAACCGAATCCACGAATTGATTGGTTTGTTTAACAACTCTAGATATTAAACTATGGTAGATGTATCATCAAAATCACGATTTTTGTGTGAGCCATATTGATTAATCTTACTATTTCAACAAAAGCGCAGATTTAAATTATAAAAGGTGCTACTTTTATTTATGTTAGTTTTCTAATATAATATTTAATTTAAAAATGTATATTGTTGAAAACGTATAATAATTGTCTGCCCCGTTTTTTATTGCAAACTAGAATTAATCCTGTGCATTTGCACAAGTTATCAAAAATAAATTGATAAATAAATATTACACATAAAAATATTAATTAAAATAAAATCTATTAATATTATGTATCACATTTATAATTGAATCATTACATTAATGACTCTAAGTTGAATTTTTAAAACTAAAAAATAAAACAATATAAATGTAGATTTACCATACATTAATGACTATTATTATATGAATATAATGAATCATCTAATTTTTATACTCCTTGATTATTGTATTATAAAAAACATAAAATTATAAACAAAGTAAAAAAATTTAAAATGGACAACACAAATATTATATACCATATAAATTGATATTTTTAGAGAATTATTGTACAAATGAAATACATAATATATTTATATAATAAAATATATGTACGTGTAGATTATTAATTTCATCTAATAATTTTCCACTTATAAGCAAATACTTATATGGTATTATTTCATTATAAAAATATGTGGTCGTTACTAAATATCACAATCTCTTATTACACATTAATTAGAATGATTTTTTTTTTCACAAATATGAAGGTAAAATAAAGAACCATTGCATCTCAATAGACTAATGTATAAAATTTATCTATGTTACAACATTTAAAAATTTAATTTTGAATAATAATTGAAAAAAAAAACATATGTTAATTAAACGAACATTAATTTACATTATTAAAATGACTGTAGAAAAAAATATGTAGGATTTTTTATGAATTAATAATGGAATTCCTACAAATGAAAGCACAAAATATTAGATATGATTATGATTTATTTTTTATAAATTTATTTCTAAGGCAAATTCAAATCTATGTATTTGATATAGGATATTATATACTAGACCAGTCTTAATGGATAAAAAGGAGATATATTGAAGAATAAGCCTACACATGGCTACGACACGTGACATGATGTTATTGGACAAGCCCAACTTGGGCCATAAGGTACATTTCCCCTATAAAAGGGGGCTAAGGTATCATATTCTCTGATTCTCTCTACATTCATAATTATACTCTTGGGATTGGGAGTGATACTGACTTGAGCGTCGGAGGCCCGACGCCGGGACCCCTCCCGGCGTTGGGTTCTTGCAGGTCCAGTGGCCGTTCGAGTTGAAGGAGCCCGAGTAAAATTTTACTCACTTCATTGGCGCCGTCTGTGGGACCCCGTTCAAAAAGCCAAACGGAGTTCAGATCAAAAAATCTCAAAAAATTTCCAGCAACTCCTTCATCTCCACCGGCCGCCGCCACCGGCCGCCACCTCCGCCACCGGTCGCCGGAAAACGTGCTCCGATCGTAAAATTGTTGGTGTCATCGGGTGGATCTCCTCGAGGAGAATCTCTCCTTTAAATTTCATGCGAAAATTCCTCCGGGAAGACCGTCAATTTTGCGGTCAAAATTTTCAGATCTAGCAAAAATTTGGTCAAAATCGAGCATTCAAACGCGTTTTCCCGACGATCCGGTAGGGCTATGAAAAATCCGGAAGTACCATTGGCATCCTCTCATCGAGACGATAGATGGGGACCTTCGCCGGTGCCGCCGTAAGCCACCGCCGACCGTCACGAAATATCCTTCGATTAAGAAAATCTCTACATCACCGTGAAGCTCTTCTCATGCTCGTTCTTCCCTTCAATTTTCAAGAAAAAATTCCTGCGGTAAGGCTGTCAATTTGCCGGTCAAAATTTGTAGATCTAAGAAGTTAATGGTCAACATCCGATCATCTTCTCCAATTTTTCGGCGATTCCCGTCGAATCGATCGAAACCGAGGGCACCATCGGAATACACGTGTCAAGGCGCTCACATTATCTGTCGTTTCCTCCGGAAACGGCGAGGTTTTGTCGGTGAAGAATTTCCCGGCGTGTTCCAGCCGTCACTCGCGCAGGTTTCAGCGTTGTTCAGTCCAGGGTTTTGGGTCCCCCGCATTCTCGTGCACTGCAGCCCAAGGAAGGGCTTAGGGTGCGGCCCAGCTCCACTCAGCCCGCGAGGAAGCCCAGCAGGAAACGGTTGGCCCAGTCTATTCACGTTCGGCCCTACACACGAAGCCCAGTAGGGGAAGAGGAGTGAACACGCGGGCCGCGCTCGGCCCGCTTCACACACAGCCAGTGGCCCGCGGGGCCTGCGTCTAGCCCGCGTCCGGCCCGCGCTTGAGCCCACCCTCCAATCTGCATTATCCGGCTCGCGATGGCCCGACTTAGGCCCGCGAGCAGCCCAGCTGCACTAGCGAGGCCCAATGCCTTTGAACGTGGCCCATTAGCGCCCCCATTGCGGCCCAGCACGGCCCTTCAGCACGCCAAACAGCCTCCAGGCAGCCCAGATCGGCCCAGAACATCGGGCAGAGGCCCAAACCGGCTTATACTGATCTAGCAGCCCCGATTCAAGTCCGAGACTATTTTGGGGCAATACGGCGTGGGCGGTAAGGATACATCGAAATAACCCGAACCTCGACAAGCTATGGTGGACGAGTTGTGGAGTTTCGAGGACAAAAAGAGCGAGCGTGGATCCATCAAAGCAGGGTGATAATAAGGGACGAGTCTGGATGGTGCCGACCGCAGGTGGCAATTTCAGAGCCAGAAATCATTATCTTTTGGAGAGGTAGGATAATTGGGAGTGGCATTCTCGACCTTCAGGTATAAAATTAATCTCAACTCTTGTCGATGGTCAAGTTCGACCGACCCAATATAATGAACGTTGAGTCTCTTAGCATTTTTTTTTTTTGGGTAATGTTCATTGTTTGAATATTCTGGGCGACATATTGCTGAGATTGTGGTGTATGTGGATATGTTTGGAATTATTATTTAGATGACTAACAAAATGCAGAAAATGAGGTGTACGTGGAGCCTCGACCAAAATCCACCATGACTAAGGCCTCCGGGCTGGGTGGTCACATGTAACGACCACTCCTTCGAGGGTGGACATGTGTTCGAAGACCAAAATCCACCATGACTAAGGCCTCCGGGCTGGGTGGTCACATGTAACGACCACTCCTTTGAGGGTGGACATGTGTTCGAAGACCAAAATCCACCATGATTAAGGCCTCCGGGCTGGGTGGTCACATGTAACGACCACTCCTTTGAGGGTGGACATGTGTTCGAAGACCAAAATCCACCATGACTAAGGCCTCCGGGCTGGGTGGTCACATGTAACGACCACTCCTTTGAGGGTGGACATGTGTTCGAAGACCAAAATCCACCATGACTAAGGCCTCCGGGCTGGGTGGTCACATGTAACGACCACTCCTTCGAGGGTGGACATGTGTTCGAAGACCAAAATCCACCATGACTAAGGCCTCTGGGCTAGGTGGTCACATTTAACGACCACTTCTTCGAGGTTGGACATGTGTTCGAAGACCAAAATCCACCATGATTAAGGCCTCCGGGTTGGGTGGTCGATCCTAGTGTTGGGTCGGTGAAGACATGGATCCTATTGGAGACCTCAGTGGCAGGTCGATGATCTTTATTCGATTTCTGGTCTCGTCGAATTTATTTTTCGACTTCAAAGGCAGGGAGATGGAGTTCATTACGGATAGCCCGAGCAGACCTCAGTGGCAGGTCAATGATCTCTATTCGATTCTTGGTTTCGTCGAATTTATTTTTTGACTTCAAAAGAGGGAGATGAAGTTCATTACGGATAGCTCGAGCAAACCTCGGTGGCAGGTCGATTATCTTTATTTGGTTCTTAGTTTTGTCGAATTTATTTTTCGACTTCAAAAGAAGGGAGATGAAGTTCATTACGGATAGCTCGAGCAGACCTCAGTGGCAGGTCGATTATCTTTATTTGGTTCTTAGTTTTGTCGAATTTATTTTTCGACTTATTTGGTTCTTAGTTTTGTCGAATTTATTTTTTGACTTCAAAAGAAGGGAGATGAAGTTCATTACGGATAGCTCGAGCAAACCTCGGTGGCAGGTCGATTATCTTTATTTGATTCTTGGTTTCGTCGAACTTATTTTTCGACTTCAAAAGAAGGGAGATGGAGTTCATTACGGATAGCTCGAGCAGACCTCGATGGCAGGTCGATTATCTTTATTTGATTCTTGGTTTCGTCGAATTTATTTTTCGACCTCGGTGGCAGGTCGAGGGAGTTCATTCAGAGCAGTTCACGAAGGTCATTCGGATTTTGAGAGAATATACAACAGGCTCGAATTTTAAATTTTGAACTGGGGGGCGATAGGACGAGGTGGTCTAAGAGAGTTCAAACATGGTGATCGAAATACAACATACATAAGTTCAAATTTTCAAATTCAAGATTTTGGGAACGGTCATTCAGTTCTTGTTTTACAACCTCATCGGCGGGTCACTCGGTTTTCGACCTTAGTGGTCGATCAACTTTTGGTATTCGACCCAGTGGCGGGTCACTCGGTTTTCGACCTCGGTGGTCGATCAGCTTTCGGTATTCGACCCCAGTGGCGGGTCACTCGGTTTTTGACCTCGGTGGTCGATCAGCTTTCGGTATTCGACCCCAGTGGCGGGTCACTCAGTTTTCGACCTCGGTGGTCGATCAGCTTTCGGTATTCGACCCCAGGGGCGGGTCACTCGGTTTTCTGTTACAGTAGGATACCCGGCGTTCCAATCAGATTGGACGTATTCTACTTATAAATACAATCTATTGGAATTATATTAATTAAAAGGCATTAATTTATTTTAAGAGTAAGCATTTATCCTATATTTGCACTTAAGATAAAATCCGTAGATCACATATAGCTATAAGATATGGTTGCGCATAGAGATGGTGATCATGGAACTTACCTTGAAAGCTGTGATCTTAAATACAGTTCCAAGTCGTTGGATGTTTCGA